ACTCGGCTGATCTCCGTTTCCAGAGGAACAACAAAACATTTTATTTCTGTTGGCATTCTGGATAAAAGGAGAAGACAATAGCTCTTTTTAAAAACCTGCTCACATTCAGAAATCTTGGGATAAATATATATATTTTTTATATAAATGGTATAAAACACTTTTTTTAAATATACAGTATTTGAATGCAACATAACAGTAATAAACAAACAGCAAAACAAATATTTGCTGCTTTGTTACATATTCTCCATTTCAAGGTATATTAGTACAGATAATAAAACACATTTGTCTCTGCAGCAGCAATGAGCCAGAGATTTTATAATATTTATAACAGAAGTCATTAACAGTTAATGGAAAGTTATGATTCTACATAAGGAAGACATGAACATTTGACTTTTTTCCCCTTTTAAATCATACTCCAGTGTTTTCTCTACACAGTTTGTTCAAAACAATATAATATACATTACAAAACTAGTATTTACATTTTGCCATATCAAAGTACTTTTTAAAACACGTAATGTTTTTAATATAGGAGACATGTAGGATTTTCCATCTTACCCATGCAGTCATACACGCCCAATATTTGTTGATGTAAATGAAAAGTAAGTATTGTGGAAAACTCATGAAATGATGCTAGACACTCTGCCTGACACTGTTTTATGAATTATATACAAGCGGTCTAAAATAGCAGGCTTGTCCATATAAACAAAATTTAAGGGGGTCTGAATACTTTCCGTACCCACTGTATGTCTTTTTAATGTAACTTAGATTTTTATGTCATGTTTTACTGATTTGTATGGATCAGCCTGGGGCCCTTTCAGACTAAATATTATAAATACTGAAGGGCCCCTCACACTCCATCATTAGAGTTGAAATCAGTCAGTCAAACCAGGCCAAGAAATATTTCAGATTTTAATTTCTGTTATGTCAAAATGTAAGGACTGTGGGTGAGAGAGGTTTGGCAGATTTACTTGTGAAATCTTTCCTGAGCAACTTGTCACTTTCTAGCCCAACAAACAATCAACATGAACTCAAAACCAAGATGGACTTTCTTAAAACATGTTCCGGATTCTAAATAAAAATGTTAATATAAATCAAATCTATTCCAGAAATGCCGATTTTTCACATTCCAAGTCCAACTGTACATTGTTCTCAAAATATATCATATGACAGAAAACAAAAGGGTTATGAACAGGTTAATGATGACTTAATCACACATTTCTTCAAAATCACCTTCCCAACTCCCAACAGCTTAGGAGACATTCACTTACAACAACTACAGACATTCACTTACTAAAGACTGAAGTCCATATGAAGACAGAAAGACTCTCATGCATTATTAGTGCAAGTCATGTACAATTTACAGAAGTCCACAGTCCTGATGGATCAGCGCCAGGGTGGGTATCGCCACAGCAGTGAAACATGAAGGCAGCAGCACAGGAGATCTATGAACACTACCAGGCTACAGATCAGATGAGTGGCTGTCAGAACTGAGCTGAGAAGCTCATAGGTAGGTTACAGTAAGTTTGGACAGGCAGGGAACTGTAAATAAAATGGGGAAATTAAAGACAATGAACAGACAGTTAAAGAGGTTGTATCATGAATAATGAAGAAGCAACCGAGGTGCAAAACAGATAATTATGAAACCTTCTTAAACCAACATATTACACTCACTTTGAAATGGCAGTGATGCTCATTCAGCATTCAGAAAGTTGCCTGTCCAGTCACAGTGAGGAATGACAGATGAAGTAGGATAGCTCAAGGAGGCTGTTTATCTCAATGCAGTTATAGCTGGTTTTTAACAAGGTCCCCAATAATTTCAGTCCAGGTTTGCTCTGATTGTTTAAGTAATGCATTTTCCAAAGAGGCTGTTACTGAAGGATGGGGCAGTTAAAAACTAGACAGCAAATCCACAAGCTCCGTTTGCTCGTTTTACATGCAAAAATGTGTTTGTACATCAAGTCAAAGCAGCAAAAAAAAAAAAAAAAAAAAAAAAAGCCCATTTGATTCTATGGGGCAGAAATGGTGAAAAATATGGACAGATGAATAATGACAGAATATGGTGGCGGAAAAACAGGTAGAAAAATGTACTTCAAATAAATAATTAAATACAATTATTTATAACTAATTTGAAAAAGTGCTTGTTTGAAAAAAAAAATCATGTATGCAACAGACACTCTCAGTTGCCCTGATCATGATTGTTTTTGGCTTCTCATACTGTACAGTTTGAGGTCAGTAAGAACTCAGTAAGTGACAGTAAAGACTTGTGACACTGAAGATTGGAATAATGTCTGCTAAAAATTCAGCTTTACCCTCACAGGAATAAATTACATTTTAAAACTTATCAAAATAGGAAACATGTATTTTAAATTGTAATAATATTTCAGAATATGACTTTTTTTTTTCTTTTTTACTGTCTTTTTGATCAAATAAATGCAGCTTTGGTGAGCGTAAGAGACTTCTTTCAAAGACATAAAAAAAAAAAAATCTTACCAACCCCAAACTGTTTCAAACAATATTAATAATACAATTTTAATAATGCATTAATAAAATGATGGAAAAGCAAATATGCCCTGCATTCACAATACAAGCTTGCCTGTTTTCCTTTAAACTGCACATTTTCTCTTTTTTTTCCCAGAGCCACAATCACCACAGACACTGAGCACTAATCTCAAGACTAGAGGGACATGTTCTCAATCAATATGGGTTTTTCAATGACCAGTTCTCTGTTAACTTTAGTCCCATCCAATGCTAAATATTTAATTGGATTCTTGATATAACTTAGTGAATGAATGCTACAAGATTACAAAGAATAAACTCAACAACTTGCACATTTTTGTGCAAATAAAGTTGAGCCACTTTGCATGTGGTATTTCAGTGCAAAAACCTTCATATGATTCCCTAACAATAATAATTTACATATGATACTTCATTCATATATATATATATATATACAAATATTGCCGTATATAGAAAGCTCATCACTACTTTCCTGGCAAAATTAATACTGCACACTTTTTTACTTCAAACTTCTAAACTGAATGGAAGTCAGCCATAGCCGACTATGAAAAGGGCCATTATTTCTTTTAAGAGAATAATGAGTATGCATTCTTTGATGATTTATGTCTGAGAGTCTAGCAAATATGCTTAACATGAAACCAAGAGCAATGAAAAATCTCACAGCTCATTCTGAACAGCTGGTGAGTCAATCTTCTCTGAACCACGTCAGTCAAAATAAACTTTATCTAAGGTGCATTTACATGTTGGACCTGCTCCTGTCTACACTGGCTCCCTGCACAAGCACAAACCAGAGGTAGAGTTTATCGTACAAAAAAGAATTAAAAAAAAAAAAAAAAAAAAAAAAGATAAAATAAAATAAAGAAACATGCTGCCATTTGCTATTATCGTCCACGAGCAGAGGAGATCTTTGCCCGATTTGGGCATGTTGTCCACGACTCCAAACACTGAATCTCTGAGGTGCAGGTATGTGGTGGAACTAACAGAAGGAACATGAGCCTGGAACACTGCAAAGGGTCAAGACTGCCAGTGAACTGAGGCACTGCTGAATTTGGCCCCTGCGGTACATCATGGGGATAAATAGAGAGAGCTCAGTCACTGTCCAAACCAAATAAGCACCAAAGCCCTGCTGGAAAATCCAGCTTAAGCTGGTTGCTGTGTTTTGGAACAATCTTAGACCAGCGACAAACAAGCTATCAGCTGGTCATGCCAGTTTATGTGGTTTTTGGAACATGGTATCTGGTAAACCAGCGAATTACCAGTTTTTTTTTACTGAATCAAATGTTTCAAAATGGACAAATTCCGAATAATCTACATTGTTATTGAACTGAAACAACATTGAACTTACTTGAGCTCAATAATGACACTACTGACATCTGTAGAGCTGCTTATAGCTGAACTGAATTTGTTTCATAATTGATGGACTTTACAGTTATTGTACAGAACTACTGTAAATCTACACTGAGCTGAATAATGACACTATTGACTTTTTAGAGCCTTTTTGGGGCAGAATTTGACTAATATTTGAATTTTGCATCATTGATTCTATTATTTTCCTGTTTATTACTATGAAGCTGCTTTGAAACAATCTTTTTTGTATAAAGCGCTACATAAATAAAGGTGACTTGACTAAACCAAGGTTATCATAATTAACTAAAACTAAAATCATAAAAAATTGTTACTTGAAATAAAATAAATGTTAACTGAAATATAATGAAATATATATAAAAAAAAACTATTTCAGCTAGTTTCCAAGGTAACATTTCTCATTTTAATTTAGTTTAACTTTATGTAATGAAATACCTAAAACTAAACCTGAAAATAAACTATACCTGAAAATAAAAACTATAGAGGCATATTTAAAAACAAAAAAAACGAATAAAAATATAAAAACACACCATTATTAAAACTTTAGCTAAAAATTAGGAAAGCAGGAAATATAAAAATATAATCTAATTCAAAATATAAAAAGTGCTGTAATTTTTTTTGACATTACTAAAGCAGAAAAATATAATATGTTTGCAGATATTTAGGAAACATGCTAAGTTTACATACTTGGTTCTCTGAAAAACAATGCTACAGCCAGCTATTCGACTTTGATAACGTGCGTTCTGTGTCAGAATGTCAGTTTTTTTTTTTTTTGGTTCATGTGATTCTGCCCACTGCCAATTTACCCAATAGTATTTTGACACCCCGAGTTGCCAGTTGGTGGAAAACACAGCATATTGCAAACGATCTGGGTCAGAGATCGCAGATTCTACTTGACCTAAAAAGCCTCGGCATCCATCTAAAAAGGTCTATGATCAGAGATATATTAAAAAGTGTAAGGCTCGTCACCTTCTGTTGTCGATTGCACTCATTCGTGTTGTCTGTCCTCAATCTGGCAACCGTCGTGAGCATAGTCTGAAGAGGAGGGCGGGAGAAATAACTCCCACCAATATTTGAATTTGAATCCATTTCAATTGCTAGCTGTCAATATTATATACTGCACCTTTAACAAAAACTATAATAGTATCTCAATGATAAAATAACACAGGACTTGACTTAGGCTAGCTAGAAACCAGCTATCATGTTTCAAAACCATCTTAATCTGGATTTTCCAGAGCTAACACACAGTGAAAAATCTGTAGGAAGCACTCCGACCATTGTACCCGTCTGCTAGCCCTCTTTATTTCACTATTGAGGGCGTCTGATCAACATGTGTCTGTCACTAATGGGAATGCAGAGGAGGCTGAATTAAATGAGGTGGGGAAGGGGAGGTGCGTTTGTGAGTTAAAGCTCCTGGCTTTGCAATTGTTGTTTGGAAGAAGCGAGCGAGTGAGCAGTACCTATACTTCCTCTCTCTCTCTCTTTCTTTAAAATCTGGTGCTTTCATGTTTCAACATGCGGATTTTGGGGAGCGTACTGGCCCCCCTGTACCCGTACCCCTGGTGCTGCTCCTCCAGTCATTGAGCTGTGCTACTGGATGGAGAACTTCCACTGGAGCTGGTGGAGCCACTGTCTTCAAAGATGGAGATTTCAATCTGGACAGCCACAGTCAAGGGTTAAATGCTGCGATGTTGAAATATAACAGTGCTAGTATGAAAAATGTAAATACTGTATTAAAGACCCATTTCAATTGTTTAATGGGTATTCTTTCTTGTGATGTCGTACTTCCTTTTTAATTAGGACATCTGGACGAATATATCAATGGGTTCATCAGCCAATTTGAGGTGGCGTCATTTTACATTTATGCATTTGGAAGACGATTTAATCCAAAGAAATTTACATTGCATTCAAGTTACAAATTTTATTAGTTCATGCAATCGAACCAATAAATAAGTGTTCCTAATTTTAACGTTTCTGTTTGCTTTATGAAATCTTAATAATATTTTATTTTAATTGTATTAATCAAAATTGTTCATATATAATTTAGAATTATTATATTACTTTATTTTATTGTATGATTATATCATTTACAAATTTTATTAAATAAAAATATACGCCCATGAGTTCAAGATCAATATTCATCAATATTGTTGGTCTTTTATCCCAGAAGAGATTGAAAATATAAAAATTTGAGGTCAGAATTTTTTTTAAATACAGAAATAAATACTTTCATTTAGCAAGTATACATTAAATTGATAATTGTTCAAATGTGACAGTAAAGAAAAATGATTTCTATTTCAAATAAATGCTGTTCTTTTGACCTTTCTATTTATCAAAGAAAATTTTTTTAAGGTTTCCACAAAAATATTAATCAGCACAAACTGCTTTCAACATTGATAATAATAATAATAATAATAATAATAATAATAATAATAAATTATTTTGTTGAACACCAAATCAGAATAGAATAATTTCTGAAGAATAATGTGACACTGAAGATTGGAGTAATTTTGCTCAAAATTCAGCTTTGCCATCACAGGAATAAATTACATTTTAAAACATAGTCAAATAGAAAACAGCTATTTTAAATTGTAATACTACTACAGTTTTTACTGTACAAATAAACGCAGCTTTGGTGAGCACAAGAGACTTCTTTCAAAGACATTAAAAAATTCTTACTAACACCAAACTTTTTAACGGTGGTGTAATTACAATAAATGTTTGTTTTGTAAAGTACACATAACATTTAGATGGCCGTAAAGTTGATAGACATGCCCTAAAAGCCACATAACCCAAATTTGGACCCTAAAAAAAGTTCTAGATGAGAGTTGCATAGATGTTAAAGGCATTCCCTCCTAATTAGAAACTTAGACCTAATCAGATGTTGAGAATATGCAATATTTTGCAAATGTGGTAGCATAGCATTAATGGAATTTAACCCATCAACTGATTCATTTAATTTAAGTTGAAAATGTCTTTCCTATGAGCTAAACCAAAGCTCTGTGATGAGTTACTGGTGGTCAGTGTGGTAGGAACTGAATGGCAGCTATTGTTTGCCCATTGCTCCTAAGGTGACAGCTGGTTGGATCACGCAGGACTGTGAGCTGATGACGGGCTGCCAAAACCAGCCGGGCCTGCAGTCAGCGGGAAGAGGGAGGAACGGTATTGCCAAGCTTGCTTGATGGTTCACTGGATAGATTTCCCAAAAGGAATCACCCAAAATTATGGGATCCAAAGAATAATATGTTCCTGGAGGATCTTTTGGGAAGACTGCAGATATATAATAGACAATGAGAGAAAGGGAACACACACTAGTTCCTTGAAAAATACTGACATTTCATTATGCATGACAATTTAATATATATTCGGAAAAAAAAAAGGAAACCAAAATAATAATCAAAAAGGAAATGGGTTGCCAAGGCAACTTGCAGACTATTGGGGTACATGCAGTGCATTGAGCCTGATCTCTGCAAAGTGACAAGCATTCATCCATGCATCAATAGACTTGACAGGAGCAACATCTCATTAGGTGAGCTGCTTAGAAACAATTAGTCTAGTTCACATTGACCCAACAAATGGCAACATTTCAAACCTTTGCTTGTTGAATTTATAATGTGAGAAGCATAAACAACATTTTCAAACTGCTTCAACAAATACAGGCTTTACACATTGATCCAACAGAAGCCAATGAACTGTAATTTGGTTGTAATTTGTTGGAATTATGGTTACAAACTTGGAATTTGAAATAATGTTTAAACAGGATAACTTTCATTAATGACACAGTTTGGGTTAAATGTGCACTGGAAGCAAGCAGTGTAATGTAATGTGACAAAACTAGATTGTTCCCTTTTTGATATTTTATTTTATTGTCTTTTATATTAAATCCCACTGACGGATATTCAGTCTGGCTTTGAATATTAATGGCTTCAAACTCCAGCTGTCAAACAGTTAAAGTGTCTTTAACCTGCTTTAAGTTGTTTGTCCTGACAAATGTTTCTTTTCAAGATATTCTTTAATCACACAGACAAAGTGTTTCCAATCAGGTCTGGCCTTAAACACTTTTTGGTCTCACAGATTCCTAGCTATGACCACAGCATTGGAAAATGGAAAGAAACGCCTACAAATAAGGCTGATTTTCCTTTCTGCTTTTTATCAACATATCAAAGTGTCACCTCTGCTGAATGGCTAAAGAAGACGTGATATTCTTTGTACAGTATGTGACTCTTATGAAAGTGTGGCTTCCCATTTTGGAAGGAACAGTAGACACACAACCACAATTGTGTTGACTGGTCTCATCAGCACAAACTGCTTTCAACATTGATAATAATAATAATAATAATAATAATAATAATAATAATAAATTATTTTGTTGAACACCAAATCAGAATAGAATAATTTCTGAAGAATAATGTGACACTGAAGATTGGAGTAATTTTGCTCAAAATTCAGCTTTGCCATCACAGGAATAAATTACATTTTAAAACATAGTCAAATAGAAAACAGCTATTTTAAATTGTAATACTACTACAGTTTTTACTGTACAAATAAACGCAGCTTTGGTGAGCACAAGAGACTTCTTTCAAAGACATTAAAAAATTCTTACTAACACCAAACTTTTTAACGGTGGTGTAATTACAATAAATGTTTGTTTTGTAAAGTACACATAACATTTAGATGGCCGTAAAGTTGATAGACATGCCCTAAAAGCCACATAACCCAAATTTGGACCCTAAAAAAAGTTCTAGATGAGAGTTGCATAGATGTTAAAGGCATTCCCTCCTAATTAGAAACTTAGACCTAATCAGATGTTGAGAATATGCAATATTTTGCAAATGTGGTAGCATAGCATTAATGGAATTTAACCCATCAACTGATTCATTTAATTTAAGTTGAAAATGTCTTTCCTATGAGCTAAACCAAAGCTCTGTGATGAGTTACTGGTGGTCAGTGTGGTAGGAACTGAATGGCAGCTATTGTTTGCCCATTGCTCCTAAGGTGACAGCTGGTTGGATCACGCAGGACTGTGAGCTGATGACGGGCTGCCAAAACCAGCCGGGCCTGCAGTCAGCGGGAAGAGGGAGGAACGGTATTGCCAAGCTTGCTTGATGGTTCACTGGATAGATTTCCCAAAAGGAATCACCCAAAATTATGGGATCCAAAGAATAATATGTTCCTGGAGGATCTTTTGGGAAGACTGCAGATATATAATAGACAATGAGAGAAAGGGAACACACACTAGTTCCTTGAAAAATACTGACATTTCATTATGCATGACAATTTAATATATATTCGGAAAAAAAAAAGGAAACCAAAATAATAATCAAAAAGGAAATGGGTTGCCAAGGCAACTTGCAGACTATTGGGGTACATGCAGTGCATTGAGCCTGATCTCTGCAAAGTGACAAGCATTCATCCATGCATCAATAGACTTGACAGGAGCAACATCTCATTAGGTGAGCTGCTTAGAAACAATTAGTCTAGTTCACATTGACCCAACAAATGGCAACATTTCAAACCTTTGCTTGTTGAATTTATAATGTGAGAAGCATAAACAACATTTTCAAACTGCTTCAACAAATACAGGCTTTACACATTGATCCAACAGAAGCCAATGAACTGTAATTTGGTTGTAATTTGTTGGAATTATGGTTACAAACTTGGAATTTGAAATAATGTTTAAACAGGATAACTTTCATTAATGACACAGTTTGGGTTAAATGTGCACTGGAAGCAAGCAGTGTAATGTAATGTGACAAAACTAGATTGTTCCCTTTTTGATATTTTATTTTATTGTCTTTTATATTAAATCCCACTGACGGATATTCAGTCTGGCTTTGAATATTAATGGCTTCAAACTCCAGCTGTCAAACAGTTAAAGTGTCTTTAACCTGCTTTAAGTTGTTTGTCCTGACAAATGTTTCTTTTCAAGATATTCTTTAATCACACAGACAAAGTGTTTCCAATCAGGTCTGGCCTTAAACACTTTTTGGTCTCACAGATTCCTAGCTATGACCACAGCATTGGAAAATGGAAAGAAACGCCTACAAATAAGGCTGATTTTCCTTTCTGCTTTTTATCAACATATCAAAGTGTCACCTCTGCTGAATGGCTAAAGAAGACGTGATATTCTTTGTACAGTATGTGACTCTTATGAAAGTGTGGCTTCCCATTTTGGAAGGAACAGTAGACACACAACCACAATTGTGTTGACTGGTCTCATTAATATTAGGATAATTTTTTTGTGGAATATCAGAAGTGAAAGGAAACCATGGCCATGGGAAACTATGTTACCCTAAAGTGACAGCTGAAAGAGCAATGTCTTTTCAGTAAGCAAATAGAATAAGTCATCAAAGTTCACAGATCATGCTTAGCTCTTTCAAGGTGGTGCCAACGCTTCAAAAAACCATCCTGACTCTTTGCAAAGGATACCACTCTCATGCCTCTCTCGACGGGATCTGTGAGGAGCAAACCTCTGGGTGCATAGATCTTCTCATTCTGCTCCTGAATATACATGCTGATCTTTTTCAGTATCTGTGGGGGCAGAGAAGAGACACAGTGAGGAGGAAGAAAAAGGTTATTGTAATTCCCCTAGTGGTCCTTTAAAGTCAGCTTAAAATAAACACGGACTCTATTCGTTTTATAAATACACTTTTTTGGTCTTACTGTGCATAAATGAAACAACTTTTTTTTGCTGGTTGACATCAATCCCTTATTGCTTTTCAACTGCTCCCCTCCAATCACCTGCCTCCGTTCTTAACGGAGAACTTAACTTAACACCCACTTTTAACTTAACACCCACTTAACACCCACTTTTCACAATTTAATTGATTACAATGGATACAATTATGTTTGTCCTTACATTTATTTTCTCATTGAATATTTTTTTAAAAAAGGTGAAATTAAAAAAAAATTAAGTACTTCTTTAATTGTATTGAACTAACTGTACTGTGTAATTGTACAAAAAATGTACATTTCATTATCAAAATAATATTAATATAGCAAATTACTTTTGAACTATATAGAGTAAGGGAACTTACAATTGACCAGTTTTTACCGTTAAAATTAGGGTACGTTTTTACAGTTTATTTAAATATATATTTAAAAGTTTATACAATTAAAATTAATTAAAGAGCAGGTCATATGGGTTTTTGACAATGAGAGAAAGGGAACACACACTAGTTCCTTGAAAAATACTGACATTTCATTATGCATGACAATTTAATATATATTCGGAAAAAAAAAAGGAAACCAAAATAATAATCAAAAAGGAAATGGGTTGCCAAGGCAACTTGCAGACTATTGGGGTACATGCAGTGCATTGAGCCTGATCTCTGCAAAGTGACAAGCATTCATCCATGCATCAATAGACTTGACAGGAGCAACATCTCATTAGGTGAGCTGCTTAGAAACAATTAGTCTAGTTCACATTGACCCAACAAATGGCAACATTTCAAACCTTTGCTTGTTGAATTTATAATGTGAGAAGCATAAACAACATTTTCAAACTGCTTCAACAAATACAGGCTTTACACATTGATCCAACAGAAGCCAATGAACTGTAATTTGGTTGTAATTTGTTGGAATTATGGTTACAAACTTGGAATTTGAAATAATGTTTAAACAGGATAACTTTCATTAATGACACAGTTTGGGTTAAATGTGCACTGGAAGCAAGCAGTGTAATGTAATGTGACAAAACTAGATTGTTCCCTTTTTGATATTTTATTTTATTGTCTTTTATATTAAATCCCACTGACGGATATTCAGTCTGGCTTTGAATATTAATGGCTTCAAACTCCAGCTGTCAAACAGTTAAAGTGTCTTTAACCTGCTTTAAGTTGTTTGTCCTGACAAATGTTTCTTTTCAAGATATTCTTTAATCACACAGACAAAGTGTTTCCAATCAGGTCTGGCCTTAAACACTTTTTGGTCTCACAGATTCCTAGCTATGACCACAGCATTGGAAAATGGAAAGAAACGCCTACAAATAAGGCTGATTTTCCTTTCTGCTTTTTATCAACATATCAAAGTGTCACCTCTGCTGAATGGCTAAAGAAGACGTGATATTCTTTGTACAGTATGTGACTCTTATGAAAGTGTGGCTTCCCATTTTGGAAGGAACAGTAGACACACAACCACAATTGTGTTGACTGGTCTCATTAATATTAGGATAATTTTTTTGTGGAATATCAGAAGTGAAAGGAAACCATGGCCATGGGAAACTATGTTACCCTAAAGTGACAGCTGAAAGAGCAATGTCTTTTCAGTAAGCAAATAGAATAAGTCATCAAAGTTCACAGATCATGCTTAGCTCTTTCAAGGTGGTGCCAACGCTTCAAAAAACCATCCTGACTCTTTGCAAAGGATACCACTCTCATGCCTCTCTCGACGGGATCTGTGAGGAGCAAACCTCTGGGTGCATAGATCTTCTCATTCTGCTCCTGAATATACATGCTGATCTTTTTCAGTATCTGTGGGGGCAGAGAAGAGACACAGTGAGGAGGAAGAAAAAGGTTATTGTAATTCCCCTAGTGGTCCTTTAAAGTCAGCTTAAAATAAACACGGACTCTATTCGTTTTATAAATACACTTTTTTGGTCTTACTGTGCATAAATGAAACAACTTTTTTTTGCTGGTTGACATCAATCCCTTATTGCTTTTCAACTGCTCCCCTCCAATCACCTGCCTCCGTTCTTAACGGAGAACTTAACTTAACACCCACTTTTAACTTAACACCCACTTAACACCCACTTTTCACAATTTAATTGATTACAATGGATACAATTATGTTTGTCCTTACATTTATTTTCTCATTGAATATTTTTTTAAAAAAGGTGAAATTAAAAAAAAATTAAGTACTTCTTTAATTGTATTGAACTAACTAATTGTACAAATTGTACAAAAAATGTACATTTCATTATCAAAATAATATTAATATAGCAAATTACTTTTGGAGTAAGGGAAGTAAGGGAACTTACAATTGACCAGTTTTTACCGTTAAAATTAGGGTACGTTTTTACAGTTTATTTAAATATATATTTAAAAGTTTATACAATTAAAATTAATTAAAGAGCAGGTCATATGGGTTTTTGAAAAATATCTCTTTTGCAGTTTATAACGTAGCTATCCTTAAATGAAAACAATCTGCAAAGTTGTTAATCAAAAAAGTGCATGATAAATAAAGATATTGTCTCTCAAAGTCGATTCTCGATTCTTAATCGCCTCAACGAGTCGTCATATTTTCGAATCTTTTGCCTGTTACCGGTACTGGGTAACAGGTAACACATTTGCATAATCCCGCCTGACCGCGAGTCTGACCTGCCCACAAACACTTCCACTAGTTAGTGTGTTTACATCATGTTGAGAAGACGCTGTGTTCAAGGATACCACAGAAATACAATTCGAACCTTTTGTTGTGTGCATGTCATTTTACCAAGGACTGCTTCTCTAATCTTGTGCTTTTATCTTCGTTGGCTTCTAATCTTCTTAATTTGGACTAACAAGCTCTCCGAACCACAACCTGTAAGTATGATTGATACGTTATGTGTACATTTTCAATTTAATGCTCAAAATAACAAGTTTTTGTGCTAATATGTGATGTACACCTAGTGCAGCTTTAGGTTTCTAGGTAAAGCACGATATTAGTCTTACTGAAATAGTTCTGATAATTCGCTCTGAACCCACTATTTCCTAAGAATGTGTCGATTAATGTAGACTGACGTTGTTCTAATAATTACTTCATTTAATAATAAAGAATGTAGTGTAGCACACAGACTTTATAATCATTGTGAAATTGCTGTTTATTTTGCTGCACCGGCAGTTATAGGGTTAATGCGGGAGAGACGAGCGGGTTAGGCTGGTGTGCCTGTGTTACAGCTGTTCTGCGTTCTGTAAAAGTCAAGACCAGTCTTTTGTCTGGCGTTCTTCAAACTTTACAGTAGACATATTTTGGTTCACAAACTGTATTGTTTCATCAGTTAGTCACGTTAGCACTCGGCTAACGTATCCACCATTATTGTTTTAAGTGTTCACAGTTTAGCACCTAAACTTTAGTTGTGGGCATTCGCTTGCATAAGTGTTTTGTATTTTATGTCATTATTATAAGAACGGATTGGAGCACTATATTATTGTTTTATGCAAAGGTGCTTTGTCAATGGTAGCGCTCGCTAACTTGCTCAAGGACTTCTCTCTGTGCCAATCACAACAGAACTAACAACTAAAATTTTATTTAAAAGCAACTCAAATCTGTAAACATTGATATAGTTGTGGCTTAACTGAATGTCATTTTCACTGTTCTTTTTTGGCTCTGATGGGATGTGTATAAGTATTACTGTATTGTATGTGTTTTGTTATTTTTGTTCCTATGTTTATTTGTGATTATGATTACCTGCCAAGGGACCGCGGATGAAAATTAGCCATTGGCTAAATTCGGTACAATGCATGAAATGGAAACATTTATGTTAAATTGTACATGGTCCCTTTTCAAATAAAGTTATAAATAAAATAAAACAGGCTTGGTCAGCTGACCAATCAGAGCAGAGTAGGCTTATGGAAGGGAGGGGTTTGCTCCAAACTTGCTTGGAACGAATCGTTTCGAAATCATTGGCAAATGACTCTAATATTAAATGTATATTCTGAGAAAATTACTATGTTTTCTGACCTTAGATGCATTTAAACCTGTTATAGGGGACTCCAACGCAATATTAGGACACTTTAAAATACCATATGACCTGCTCTTTAAGTATTTTTAAAGATAATTATAAAAAAGCAATTACAAATAGCTTATATAAAAACAATAGAAGTCTATAGCATTATAAAACTAAATAAATGCTCATAATATTATATTGTATACTGTTAGAGCCATTTGTGAAAACATCAAAGCTGTATAATAGTAGTTTATTTAGATTATTCAAGTTTATTTGTTTGACTTTTCAAGTGAGCATTGCAAAGGCTATCGGTGTTTCTCTACCCCAGTGGGGTGAAACTGTGCATCACTTTGCTACGCTTTGCCTTCCACTCTACAGAACCGGCCGTGAAAAAGGACGAGATGTTTGTAATAAGGGAAGAAAACGGATCTGTTCTGAGTTCAGTGGCCATGAACAAACTTCAGGATGAGCAATGACTCACAGGAGTAAATCCAACACATGCTGCTAATATGCTACTTGGCGCAACCCAAAGTGAAATATGTTTTTCCAAAACAAAGTGTACAAGCACACTTTTATCCAAAAGCTTACATCAATTTATCATGATAAAAATTCCATGTAAATATGCATGTGAGGTCCAAAAGCCTAAGACCACCAGTGGAAATGCTTTTTCATTACAACTTATATATCAGCATAATGTATTGAGTGGAAAGTTGAATTGAAAAATGAACATGAATATCTTACTGTTTGGAATGTCGACCTTTAGCTTTAATGACAGCAGCACTTAAGCTGCATGAAGTTACATTTACAATGATTCATTTAGCAGACTCTTTTATGCAAAGCAACTTACATTGCATACACTGTATTGGTTCATGCATTTGCTAGGATTTAAACCCATGACATGACCATGTTGCTATAACATCATAACTTGAAAAATAAAATAATAATAATAAAGAAAATTGAAATCCTATAACTTCCTGTTTATTTACAGATTTAAATTAGATTTTGAATTCCTGATATTCAGTACACTCTTAGATTTCAGGAACTGAGCTGATACTAGCTGTGTTACTCTGGGTCTTACAGTGTTTTATTTTCAATTTCTTTTAAATAGTCAACAGAGTGCAACAGTCAGATTCCAGAAAAGTAAAAATCTCCCCTCATTTTCTCCATTGAGAAATTTATTTTTAGTGATAACCGTTAAATAAAGATGTACAATGAGCTCTGAAGTTGTTAAGCAATGATGTATGAATCCAAACCAGCTCAATAGTAACTATTCCCATAAAGCACTGCAGATGGCATAAAGTCATTATGTCTTTTGTATTTTTAGAAAATTAATGCCAAATATATCACTGGAAGCAAGGCAACTTAAAAATTGGCATTGGCAATTGGCAAAAACATATTTTTGAAATAATGACTGCTCACTTTTTATAATAATAACAGTAAATATATCTATAATATTATATTATAAATATATCTATAATAATATATCTATCTATAGTAAATATATCTATTATATAAATATAATTATTTCCTGAACAGCATGCTGTTATATGATGAGGAATGGAACTTGAATATATGGAATGAAATTATGATTTGGAATGAAAGAATGAAACTGAATATATGGAATGAAAGTCAGAATATATGGAATTAAATATATTTATATATACACATACATACAGCGTGACATACATGTCGCATGCACGTGATACGAAAAAATCGGTCTGTGCAATGAATAGATTTACTGCAGTAGCACGTGTGCGATAGTTTTGCATGTGTGTTCTGTTCTCTGTTGCCATCTACTGGTAATTTTATGTCATTTTCATTTTAAAGGTGTTTGTTTTCCACCTGAAGGCAGAAATCGTCCACTAAAGCATGGTACATGTTCAATGTTATCTTCCTGAATTAAAATGAGAAATGCAGATCTCCTGAATTTTACAGCATAAATCTGAAGTTAAATTAAATAAATAAATAAATAAACTGATATATAATATATAACGTTGATATGTCTCAATAAAGTTTACACACGCTTTTGGTCCGTGAACTGGATCTTGCTCAGTACGCGCGCTGTCTGTGGAAGTTTGGCCAGGACCGGTTCCAGAATTAGATCACTGAGGTTGCTCTCACATATACATTTTTTCCCATCCATTGCTATGGTTATCACTTGAGTTATCAATCACTGCTATTTCGATTTCAGGGATTCCATGACTAATAATATGGGGAGGCAACTGTGTATATATATCTGTGTGTAAATCTGAGATGTTTTTATTGATTCATTTAGATTTTACCATGGAAATGCGAAACATAGTTTTTAAAATTTCCAACGCGTGTACCACAGGTTGAGAATTGGTGCTGCTCGAAAGAACAAAATGTCATTTTGTGATTTACGGTCTTGAGGCTTGACGTATGACACAGTGCAGCACTCTCTAAATCTTTGTCTCCACTGCCCTGACTTGTGTGTGCAATCACTCGTCTTTGATAAGGAAGATGCTTATCATGCTAGCCTAGAGCATGAGAGAACTCATCCGTGTCCACTCATGTGTGGCCTTCTGTCAGCTGGAGCGGCAAACAAAAGTGCTCATCATGGGTGGGTGCAGTTTATCAGAGTTTGCCATTAAAGTGGGCATTTTTCCTGTCTAGAGTTTACAAATAACACTCTGAAAAAGCCTGATGTGACCTCGGAGTTCCACAATGCATGAACGACGTCACTTTTCAAACATGTTCAAGCATGAAGATGAATATAGTACGAGAGAGACTTTCAACTTTATGTCCACTCTATCTCAGTGCAGGTGAAGCACACCTGTGTGGAGTAATTTGCTGGCCTTTGGAAGTATATCTCTGGACTGAATGCCATGTTATGATTTGGTCAGATATGCCCACTTGTGGATAGGTGCTCACCACAAGGGAACTATTGTCTAAGTAGGGCATATCTACGCATATCAAACCTTATCTCAATTTTGTTTGCATGCTATTCAGAGAAAGTGATTTACATCTGCCGCTGCAAACGTGTGTGGTCAGATTCAAATGGGCCGGCAGATCAAAATGTTCAAACTTTCTAATGTGTTGGTTCTGTGTGAATCCTCGGGTGACCAGGCCTGAATGCTCGTCTTTGATCTTCAAATGCGCTCATGGTTTGGAGCTGTTCTCAATCTTACATCTCAGGACTGGCTTCTTCATGAATGTTGAGTGTACTGTAAATGAAACAGGAGAATACTTTATCTTGATACCATTTCATAGCGTGTCTCCATGCACAGGAAGATGATGTAGGCTGTAGCACAAGCCAGGCAGCCTTCCAGGTAGGACTGACTGCCAATCTTTTCAGCCTCTGCATAATAGCAGTTGAGCGTCTTCAACGTTTCTTCAAACAGGCTCCTCTCGATCTGCGCACAACAGTCAGTTTAAACTCAGCCAGCTTGCCAGCGGATCCTCTGCATTGAATGGGTGCCATCAGAATGAGAGAAAACATCACAGTAATCCACAAATAACTCACACGACTGTAGTCCATCAATTAACGTCTTGTGAAGCAAAAAGCTGCATTTTTGCAAGAAACAAATACATCATTAAGACTTTAAGATGTTAAAACTTCAAACCATTGCTTCCTGCTAAAATGTAAGTTCTCTATCCATAATACTGCTTTCTACCGTGAAAAAGATGTCTGGTCTGAATCAGGAGAGATTTGTTTCTCACAAACACATAGTTTTTCACTGCAAAAGATGTTAACTGACGGACTGGAGTGGTGTGGATTACTTGTGGATTATTGTGATGTTTTTATCAGATGTTTGAACTCTCATTCTGACGGCACCCATTCACTAGAGAAGCTCTCTTTGTGAACAAGTGATGTAATGCTAAATTTCTTCAAATCTGTTCCAAAGAAGAAACAAACTTATCTACATCTTGGATGGACTGAGGGTGAGTACATTTTTAGCAAATTTAAATTTAAGATTGAGGCAATCAAAAGTCTTAAGATTAAAGCAATGCCACATGGGACGACTGTGCGACCACATAAATGGCAGTAATACATCAGATGTGTCCCCTAACCTTCATCTGAATCTCACCCTACTGTCCAGCTCAGCGGGGAACTTGGTCTGGAATTTGCAGATGGTGCCGTCTCTGTAGTCTCTCTGAATGAAGACCTTGGTGGCCAGAGATGCACTGTGACACAGCTCCTGAAGGTTGTGAAACTACAAAGAGACACAAAATACATCAGGAATGTCTCAAAGGGGGCGCTCATGAGCACCTTTCTGAAACTTAAAATGACAAATGGCACAGTCACTAGGCCATTGATATGACTAGCGCCTTGTATGTACATCATTTTAAACATTTTTCATGTAAATCATTACTTGCACAGTTAAATCATTGTACATGTGGATAAGAATTTGTGATTTGACACTTAAAATTGAGAGGGTCCTGACAGCATGACATTGTGTCAATTAATTTAATGATTTACGGTTTCTATCTCTTCCAAGACACACAGAAAACCTAATGATAGAGACTGGCCCTACATCAAGAGTCTATCAAAATGAAAAACAGACAGGGGCCTCTGAAGCAATAATATTTTAAAGTATGAAGAAATATGTACGCAGGTTTATAAAATCCAGGCCAGTAAAAGACAGAGCATCAATCAAAAGAAGGAAAATAAACACTCAATGAGTTGTTTTAGAACTTAATGTGTAAAAACCATCTTCACCAGCTCTGGAAACATCATGAAATATATTTAGAGAGCCAAGAGAGAGAATGAAACCTGATAGATCCAAGACGCAAATCCAACTCTAGTGACCATTTGCTGTGTCCCATTTCTCCTGATTCTCCAATTGACAATACAGTCGGACAGACATATTCCAGCACTCAGTCTGTCTACAGTGGCTGCTGGCAAAAATGTGTTTCATAAATTTCATTTTCAAATAATAATAACTACATGAATTAAGAACATACTGCAGCTTTCTGTCTGAGCATATCACCTAACACACTGTAAGCAATGCATCAGTTTCTTTCTTTCGAAACCTTGTTTCTCCCTCGTAAACAAAGCCCTATTTTAACAGATCAAGACATAAGACCAGGTTCACAACTTTATTTTCAGCAAAAATGAATTGGCCTCACAGTTGTGGTCTCATTAGTGTAATTGCTGAAAGCTTTGATGCCAAAAATAAGTCTATCGTTAATACTCTCTATAGCTAACATCGTAAAGTTACTCTGTAAGGCCAGTGCTGAAACATACAGAACGAATGAAAAAGGTTTAATGGTTCTTTAAATGTGTAATGGGCTGTAGATGACGGGGGGAAAAAAATCACAAATAAGATCTTTTTAATACCAGTATTGTTTCTCCTAGAAAGCAATGCGATTAAATTGAAAACAAATGGAGAGTTTTGTTTAATAATCACATTATTTGTTTAATAATGTGTCACCTCTCAATTAGTAATTTTCAACCAGGGGGCCGGGACCCACTAGGGGGCCTCAAAATGTCTTAAAATGACTTTTAAAAGATTTAATAATCATCTTTAAATAAGCTAAAACTAAAACTAAACTAAAAACTAAACTAAACTAAACTAAAAATCACAATCTGAACTAACATCTCTTAATGTATTTCTTACTTTAATGTTTATTTAAATACCAGGATCTTGGAAAACCTAGATATAGACATTTTTAAAAGTGTTTTCAAGCTGGAAAAGTCATGGAAACAAATACAATTATGGAAATTTATATAATGAGTACACATTTAGTTAAGTCTACTTCCAGTTATGTCAAGCTCAAAAATATTTTATCATGTAGAAATTATTTATGAGTAAAAATCCATTTTAAAAACCTTATCCCATAATCACTAATGACTGAAAAATTAAATTGAAAATTAAAAGTAAATTGGTCATTAAGAGTGTGAAACCTAAAGAACATTCAGTTCTGGAATTATGTTTTACTATCATAGAGAATCAGTATCAAACTGTTCATTTTAAATTTTAATACGTTGCATTTTAATTTTAGCTAAAAGTTTAGCTAATTTTTTTTATTTCAGATTTAGTTTTAGTTATTGTAGTATTTTGAGTCAAACTAAATGAAAATAATAGATGTTGCCTTGGCAGCTAGCTGAAGCAAGTAAGCAAGTAAGTAAATAAATAAATAAATAAATATTTTTTTAATTATTGTTTATTTTGTTTATTTATGGTTTTAGCTTTAATTAACGATAACAACCCTGGGGCATTCAAGTTAAAAAGTCTGAGAACCACTGCTTTAGATATCTCAGCAATAAACTGTGCTCAAATTTGCCAAGTCAGGCGCTATATTGTTTTAGGAGAAACATATGAGACAAAAGTTGATATTTAAATGAGGTACAACTAAAGGAGCCACCCCTGAGCAAGATTTCATGAATATATCAATAAATTAAACTACATGTTGTCATTATGACTTCACACCATCCAGCATTGGAACAAATACAAAGAAAGTCAGAATTAGCAACCAAAGCTTCATAAGGATGTACGTGAATGATAATTAGTCTTCACTGTTGCCATGACACACAAAGTTTTTTAGTTCACGGCAAATGAGATGAGCCTAATTATCCCTGCACTCCTTCACCGAGGCATCGCTCAGTGAGACTCCAACTCAGGTTGAGGATGCTCATAATAGCTGTTCTGCTGTCTCAAATCCCACAGCAGCTGTTAACATAACCACAAGCAAGTGGCTTATCTGGCCACATGACTATCCACAGTTGGATTTCTCCCAGATATGATAAATTATTCACACTTGGGAGGTCATCTAAACTGGTATCTGCAAGTTACAAGAAGAAAAGTTTCACAGTCTGACTTTTGACTGTCAACAAAGTATTGTACTGTTTTAAGCTTATCTTGCCAAGAACTACAAGATGGATCTGTCTGACCAACGTGAAAAGTGAACCAAATTTTGGTTTGATTTGGTGCCATTTAGAGTCATCTAAAAATGAAAATTCTGTCATAATTTACTCACTCTCATCCTGTTCCAAACCTGTATGACTTTCTTTATTCTACAGGCAATTTAAAGGAATAGTTCAACCAAAAATAAAAACTTGCTGAATATTGGCACATCCTCAGGCCATCCAAGATGTAGTTTGTTTCTTCATGGGAACAGATTTTAAGAAATTTAACATTAAAACATCTGCTCTCCTATGGATCATCTGTAGTGAATGTGTGCCACAGGAAACAGTATTATAGATTATGGTCTTGTATTTTGTCCAGAAGCGATAGTTTAAAATTAAAATGTCTTAATGATGGGTTTGTTTATTACAACCACACAGCTTTTCACTTAACAAGATGTTAATTGATTGACTGGAGTCGCGTGGATTACTTGAGGATTATTGTGATGCTTTTATCAGCTGTTTGAACGCTCATTTTCAGTAAATTTGATCTATTCCTTTAAAGAACATTGAGGTTCGAACAACATTAGACCTATTGATTTTTAGACTTTTTTTTTTTTGTTCAAAAATATCTTCTTCTGTGATCCAAACAAGTCATACAGTTTTGGAGGGTGAGAAAATGCTAACTTTTTTTTTATTATTATTTTATTAATTTGATTGATTGATTGTTTCTGATGCAGAAAAGCTAGTTCATGCATTCATGACTGATTCATGACTTGACTGGATTACTGTAATGCACTACTAGCTGGTTGTCCTGCATCTTCAATAAACAAGCTACAGTTAGTCCAAAATGCAGCTGCTAGAGTTCTTACCAGGTCTAAAAAAAATATGATCATATCACCCCAATTTTATCATCTCTACCCTGGTTACCTATTAATTTCCATATTGATTTCAAAATATTGCTACTGACCTATAAGGCACTAAATTGTTTAGCTCCTGTATATTTAACTGATCTTCTTATGCCCTATAATCCATCACGCTCTTTAAAGTCACGAAACTCTGGACTTTTAGTAGTACCTAGGATAGCAAAGTCCACTAAAGGTGGGAGAGCATTTTCTCATCTAGCTCCTAAACTCTGGAAGTCTTCCTGATAATGTCCGTGGCTCAAACTCACTCCCTCTGTTTAAATCTAGATTAAAGACACATCTCTTCAGCCAAGCATTCAGATAATGAATCTCATAACATTGTTCCCAGGTAGATCAGATAAAAGTCACAAACATATTTTTTGCTTGAAAGGTTATGAACAGCAGCTACGCTAATTCTTTTCCATTTGCCTTTCTGTTCCTACCCCGGGATGCCCATCTCAAAGTAACAAGAGATTACACCAGCTCCAGCGTGGATCCAGCCTCGTAGAAAGACTTCAGATGACCCAACACCTGTGAAGAGATGATGCTGACCCCTGCAAGGACCCCAGATGACGCCAACTTGAATCGACATGCACAACTGCAAAAATTTCTCTATATTGTAATCATTATGATCACACTTGTAATAATAGCTTTAATGAGCTTCTGCCTAAAATTAATTCTTGTTAGCTAACTGTATGATTCTATTATCTTCAACTGTTCATTTGTGAAATGAACATTACTTGGACACATTCACTTCTGATAACAGATCACTCTAAATTGTAATGTAGACACATGCATTTTCAGTAAAGCTGCTTTGAAACAATGTGTAATGTGAAAAGCGCTATACAAAAACAAACAAACAAACAAACAAACAAATAAAACAATTCTGAGTATTCTATTGTTTTCAGTATTCAACAATAAAGTTTTAACAGACAGTCAGATTGGAAGTGGCAATTTCTGCCAGCTCTTGCCATTTCTGTCCAATTTGCATCAGACAGTCGGTAAACAGACTGTAGGTGGTTAGTGGGCTTAGGTTATGACTATAAAAAGAGTTACCATCCGATTTCTGTAAATCGTGAACTGTCAAACTGGCGAATAAGTCTGAAAGGCGAATGAGGGTACAGTGCCATTCCTAAAGTGAGACCATTAGCATCATTGGCCATCACAACTCTCAGCAGTGAGATGCTCACGGCCAATTAAAATTCATCATTTAAGGAAAAGGTTATGAATTTTAATAAAACGGTCTGTCCAGCAAGAACATCTGAGGGGTCAGAGGTTGATTCTAGATGCTGCCAATATTGAGCCGTATTTCATAAGTAGCTGAGCAGATCTGCAGAGGCATAACAGAAAGATAGATGTGTACCTTCAAAACTTCATAGGCTCTCGGGCATTTCCTCTTCCTTCCCTTGTGAATAGGGAAGATTATTTTAAACAGATGTGACAGAGGGAGAACATTTACAGC